AAAAACTTTCTTGAATCAAAGTAAATCAAAGACGTGATCAGATAAGTAACAACCTTTCTGGGGAGAAAATAACTTTGCATATATAAAAGGGTGCAGGGCTGGAGATTTCAATATACTCTCAAGTTTGAAAATAGGCTATTTGACTCGTTTCTGAGAAAGGCAGTCTTGTGAATTGATATAATGGTGAAATGTTGCAGAAGCGATCGTACTGGCCTAACTTGGAAGTTTTTATTATGACACTTACGTTGGATCGACCCGGTGACGACGATCGTTCGTCTCGACGTCGATAGCTGTCGTCGTGATATCGCGGGCGTACATAGTTCAGAAGCGACGAGCCAGGAGTAGCTGGGAGCAAACAATGTTTTTTGCTAGTCTTGGTAAATTCTCGAAATCGGTTACTTGAATGGTGAGCATAGAACGGATCGGCGGCAGTGGTGGCGTAAGGGGCGTTTAGACCGGGCGACATCGGCAGTTCTGAAGAATTTGACACCTACAGGCTGCACGACTGGATCGTATCCGATATGTGTGTGCGGATAGAGAGCAAAAACCAGTACAACACTCACCATCGTAGACGCTTTCTGCAGCCTTGTCCAGCTCCCTGCAAAAAGCAAAAGCAATCATGTTCAGAACGCAGAGATACGGAACAAATGGGACACATAAGATGTCAGCGTTGAGCAAAAAAGTGAACAGGGCTGACGAAAAAAAGCACACAGAAGCTGTGCGTTAGGGCTACCGTAGCAATTCTGCGGGTGCGCCGATGGTGCGATTGCGGATCCGCCGATCGCGATTCTTGCGCCGTATGAACGCCGCCGTCGACTCGTAGTTGTCCTTCACTCCAGCGGTGGGACTGTAAGCCAGAAGCGTTAGGATCACTCGTTCTTACCTCAGCTAGGGCTATCGTGGGCCTATCACCTCACGGGTTCTGGCTATCTGGGGTCAGACGCGCACTACACTCTTTGACACTAACACCACAATATCAAAATTCGGGGTTAGCTAATGCCACAAAACAACGGCCTTTCGGACCATTCAGCTCCTCTATCCAGGGTTGAATGATCCGAAAGTGCGACTCTACACGATCAGAACGACACAACGTAATGAACTGACGCCAGGTATGGAGCGAGCCATGCGCCATAAGCAGGGCTCGGGCGAAAGAGCGGATTTGTATACGAGAGACGTCTAAATGTCAGTTCCTTATAGTTACAGTAATCACTTGTGATCGGACCCACGCATTCCACATGAAATCTTCTTCTGTTAATGTTCAACTAACCGTGATTCTTCAACCGGACGAGGAGCTTCTTTTGCTCGAGGCTGTGGCGCTTCTTGTAGACTCGTCTTTGGTTCGATCGTAGCCTTCAAGGACAGGTTCCGGTCAGCTTCGTGCGTTCTCCATGTGACGAGCTTACCTGTGTTGTGACCAGACTACTTGCGCTTGGCCTCTTATAAGGCTTTGGTTCAGCAGGTGCTGGTACTTGAGCCGCGGCTGAAGCCGGTGGAGGTTGCAATTTGAATTCGGCTACGGCAGTGTAATATCGCGTTGCAGATGTCGGAGTTTTTGGTTCTGAATTGGAAAAATTACTACGACGGTTAGCCACCAGGCAAGTATTCCTATAGAGAGTCTACCATAAGGGAGATTCAGGACGGATTTT